TGGGAGGGGCAGGCACCACCCATGCACACCCCTTTTGGGGGTGCCCCTCCTTCCCAGCAAGCCCCTCAGCCCTGTCAGGTTGGATCTTCTCAGGTGGGATGTGGCTTCAGGCAGTATCCCCTTTCCCTACCTCTCTCCCCCGCCCCAGCCCTCACCCCCTTCTTAGATCAGTGAGATTCCTGGGAAAATACTTTGATTCAGTCCTTTCCCAAAGGATTTATTAAAACACAGAAAATGGAGACATACACACAGAGTACAAAGTGAAGGGGATCATGTCGGTGACAGTCTTAAGTATCCCACATGTCCTCCCAAGGGTGGGGCAGGTCACCATTACAGGGGCTCAGCTTCCAAAGCTCCAGCCCCCACCCCCAGCTGGGACTCTCCCTGCTGGGACCCTCCAACTCATCCAAAGTGTCCCCAGCCCCTTGGCTGGCCTGGGGCTGTCTCGGGGCAAGGGACCTGGCCCCTCAGCTGGGCTAGATACCGCCTGGGTGGGAGTCCCTTCCCTCATCTCCAGGCTTGGGGGCTCAGGCTCCCACCTCCATGTCAGGGGTTCAGGACACACACACACACACACCTGACGGGCCTTTTCTGGGTTATCGCACCTAAAAAAATACTTTGTTTAAAAAAAAATCTGAAAACTAAGAAAAAAATCCAAAACAGAACACCAATGACTTTGGGCTGATATACCACAACCTGTAAACTTCCAGAATATAAAATGGGGCTGGAGTCAACTCCCTCAATGGAGACAGTGGTGGGCACGGGACAGCCACAGGTACATGGGGAGACCCTAGGCCATGGCCAAGCCAAAACCTCAGCCCTTGCATCCTGCCCAAGTCCCTTCCCCTGCCACTTAGCTCCATGGGCTGCCTGCTCCCAGGTCCCCAAGCCCACCCTCTACATGAGCCCCACCAGGCCTACAAGAGCCCTGGTACCTGAAAATCTGGGAACAAGGGCACCAGATGTCACCAGGGCAAGATTTAGCCAGCCTTCACCCTGGGCAGGGGAGCCCCCAGAGGACTCTGAAAAGGGATCCCTGGTGACAGTGGCACCTGTACCAGCTGTGGGTATCAGCAGGACCTTGGTCCCAATTTGCAGAAAACAAAGGAGCTTCTGAAGGTGGCTGGCAGGGCGGGTCTCCTGACACAGAGTCTCGGGATGTGCTTCCGTGGCAGGCATGTGCTAGTGGGGGGCCCTCTAGACACGGTCAGCCCAACCCAAACTCCACTCGTCACCTGGGAGCCCAGCAGGTGATGCTTTTGGAGACTGTGGCCCAAAGGTGGTTCAAGAGAAAGCCTACTCGGCACTGGCTTAAATAATAAGGTGGCTGGAAACAAAACCGCAGGCTGGCACTTTGGGGTTCTGCTTGTCCACAACGACCCTCATTCTGCCAGAAGCAAAAACCAAACCCAGCCTGAAGATGCCAACGACATTGGACAGCCCCCCGCTCCCCCACCCCACTGCTTCGGGCAGGAGATAACTGATAAACCAAGAAGAAAACATTCTTAAGATCCTTTTTCTCTCCCAAAGCAGTTAACAGAAACTCACTCCCACTGTCCACAGCCCCCTCCTGGGCCTCTGGGGTGCCAGTCATGGAGAGCAGCGCCTCTCCTGGGACCAGCAGTGCCAGGGGCCATGCCATCTGTGGGTGCCTGGCTCTGGCCTGGTGAGAAGGGCCCAGGGGACACTGGCAAGGCCTAGGAAGGGCATGAAGACAGAGGGGACAGAGGGAGGTTCCCTGGGAAGGAAGGGCTGGGAGGGACCATGGGACCTTGGGCTGGAATGATGGATGCAGACCCCTCTCCCGCCGCCATGTGCCTCCCAGCCTGACACTCGGGACTGTCCACGTGGCCAGGGAAGGTTGGCACTGTTCCTAACTAGGCCGACTACAGGAAGGGGAACATCTCAGGGCCCTGGGTGGAGGGGGAGTCATGGCAGTCACCTCGTATGTGGCCTGAGCCAGGAGCCTTTGCAGGGAGGCACTGACGGGGGGACACACATGCAGGTGAACCACAGTAAACGGGAATGACCTCACCATTCCCGGGAGGCGGGTCAGCTGCTGCTGCATGTGTGTCCTGGAAACCTGCAGGCCACTTCCAGGACCCTCCCCACTCTGCCCACCTGTGATGCCAGGGCTGGGTCTGCCTTGGAGGTTTGATTAGGATGAAGTATGGGGCTGCCAAGATGGAAGGAGCCTTGGGGGTCCAGCCCTCCAGGGTTCAGAGAGAGCCATTTATAGATAAGGAGTCTGGGGCTCTGTGTGGGCCAGCTAATCACCCAATTGTCCCCAAGGTAAGCCACCAAATCCTGGCCCCAGACCTGGCCCAGGGAGCTAAACCCAAGCCCCTCAGGGCACCCCACCCCCAAGTGCAGACTGCCTGTCGCCCAAACAGGATTCTTACCCAGGGTATCGCCCCAGGAAATCCCTTCCAGGCTGAGCATCAGATACAGAGAGGCCTGGGCTTGGCCCACCCTCAGCTACTACCTGGGACCGTTACAGGGTACCATCAGCCAGGTGGAGGAGGGCCAGGACTTGGGTTCCTGGCAGGACACAAGGCCAGAAGCCTGGGATGCTCTGGCAGGAGAGCTGGAGAGGCCATCAGGTCCAGTTCGCCTCCTGCAAGCAGAGCTCTCCCAGGCTGTCTGAGAACACGTCTAGGGCATCTAGGGTTCTGCCCTGGGTGACAAGTGCCTGGACCGAGGCCTCTCCATGGACAAAAACAGGGACAAGTCCATGCTCCGAGGGGTGGCCTGGTTTCTCCTTTTCTGCAGACCAGGAGACTGCACGGGGAGTGTGTACCTAGAGGTGGTGTGACGGCCTCCCAGGGCACAAGGCAGGGCCAAGGGCTCCTGGGCCACCTTCAGTGCTGCTGTGACCTCTGCTAAAATGCTAACAACCACCTACCCATAACCACACCTGGCAGATGGCAGAGATGAAGGCTCCACAGCTGCATAGACCTCCCCCCGCACCCAGTACCACACACTGGGCCTGCCCTGCGAGGTAGCGGCCAAGGCCCTCCACAGATGCTAACAGAGTCCAGGGACAAACACCTACTGACAGCCCCCTCCCCCAAGGACACCGCACATACCTGGTGGTCTCCAGCCCTGGCAGGAAGTGGGTAGAATAAAAGCCCTGTCCTAACCCGGGGCATCAGCCAGGTCTCTAGCATCAGGCCAGGCAGCTGCCCCCCAATCCTGACCCGCCTGGCACTGGGGAGCCCCACGTGGGCAGGGGGCAGAGCAGAGGGCATTCAGGCAGTGCAGACGTGACAGGTGGGTGGGGCACAATGAGAGCTCCGGGGCAGATGCTGCTGGGCCGCGTCCAGGGCAGTGGCAGGGCTTCCTGCAGCTTCCGTCCGGTCTGGAGCCCGTTGATAGACAAGAGACGTGTGCTGGTTAGACTCCTCCCTACGCCACTCAACTTTTATCAAGACAAACTTGTTCAAGTCTTCAATAGGAAAGTGCAAAAGATGTACAAATAAATGAAATCTCCTCTAAGAAGTCGTTCTGACAAAGGTGGCCCAGGGGCATATCCCGTGTGGTGTGGGTGTAACACTGGAACACTTGGGTTATGATGAGGTGGCACTTCTGGGCTCTGGCCCAGCCGGGCTGGGCCCTGTCCTCCACGTGATGGCATTACTCGGGTTCCCTTTCTGTCCCACGGTGGCAACGGCTCCTATAAAGGCAGTAGCTTTTCTCTCCTGTGGGGATCGGGCAGGTGGCCCAGCAGGCGTGGCTGCAAGAGGCAGATCTCGGGTCACACAGGTGGGTGGTCACGTCTCCAATGGGGGGACCACTCCACACCCTGTTGCCATCCCACCCATTGCCTGTCACGGGCAAGTGCAATCAGAGGGAGCTCCCTGGCCAAGGCCTCCCAGAGTGCCAGAGAGAGCCTTAGGAATCGCAGCCCACTGGGGCAGCCAGCCTGGAAACCCCCTCCCCCCTGTACCTCCACCTGGAAGCAAAGTTTTTACAGGACAGACAGGTCTTGGTGGGGGCCAAGGTGAACTGGAATAAGCTCCCCTCTCCTGGCCCCACCCCAACCCTGAGCCACCCTCCTAGTCCTGGGCAAGGAATGGGGGTGAGATGGGAAGTGATGGCCTGGGGTGCCCACTACTCAGCAGGGCAGTGGAGACAGGAGAGTGGAGGCAGGGTTCGGACTGGGGACGATGG